CCTAAGACGTAAAGTTTTAAACATTTAAGTATCCAGATAACCGGTTGAAGCATTAACTCTTTCTTCTAATAAACCACAATACATAAAAACTAATTTTATATTAAGATATTCATGTCAGCAAATAATACTAAGTTGGATATCACATCACTCGCTACATCAGCATGGTAACCGATTAATGTTTCAACCGGTTACCCAAACGCTTAAATGTTTAAAACTTTACATCTTAAGTACCAAAATGGAAGTTCTGAAAACACGTTACCTAAAATAGAAATCAAATTAAAGTACGTTGTTTTTTTCATGCAATTTGCCCTTTTATTGACTGTATCTTCAAAAAAAAATGACAAGATAAAGCCTTAGAATATAACAAATTGTAGTTTAAGCATCAAAAGTTGTAACCTACATTTTTGGAGTAAGACCATGACTTGTTCAATGGTTACAAAGCACACACCCATCAATTACTCATGCCATGTCTCCAACTCCTCCACTTCAACTTGTATTTTTTATTACCATTTTTATTTTTTAATATATATTTGTTTTTAATTATATAAAGTAATTCATAGATCTTCTTTTTGTTTGACTACAACAAAATGATGTTTGACTGACTCACCATACTTGATGGATGAGAGTTTACCAATGACCAATATAATTATCGATGTTTCATTTTCATCTGTAGAAATAGTCCATATATGTTTAGGTCATAAGTTGTTGTCGGTTAAGTAAAGGGTATTTTGGTCTTTTTGTTTTCTTTATTGAAAAAATAATATACATCTATTCACCATATATGTGAAACTTGTCATAAAAATTTAAAAGATAATAATAATAACGTTTCTTAACCCCTGTCCATGACCCACTACACCTTCACGCATGCCCAAAAAAAACTCTGATGAGCCAACTTTCCACCGCAATTGTGGCAATGCAACCGTACCCTTGTTTCTTCTGATGACCCCCCTTATCGTCCCTCTTTTCCTTTCTCTTATCTCTTTCTTCTAACTATAACTGAATCTCCATTGCACCGCCAGTGTAACCATCTGTCCCTCACTCTTTTTGATCCACACCCCCTCTCTTTCTCTTATTCCTCTTGCCTTTTTTTTTTGTTGATTCTCTCTTCCCTTATGATATTCATGTATATTTTAGACCCTCTATTTCGAGGTTACTGACTTACAGGTGAAGAAACCGTCAGAAAGGGTTGCAAAAGATTTAGGTGCTTAATGGAAA